TGTTTTGAGTTTCAGTGTCCCTAGCATTTGTTGTCATGTGCCAAATGTGGTGATGGGGCTGATTACTAATTGATGGTTTTAGTCTGAGCTTTGTTGTTTGGACTGCTTTTGTTGCTGGAAACTTCACATGTAATTACAAATATGGTTCTAAATTTGTAAATGCTTTTTGATGGTGAATTATTTCTATTGTACATGTTTCTATTATGCCAATACATTTTTTATGCTGAATAGGTGCTTCATTGCCTTTGATTGTTGTTTTAGCTAGAGATTCTTTTCCACTTGTTTTGAATGCCCTTCAAAGAAGCTTGAATTTTTCCATATTCATTCGTGTAAAAAACTTTTCCTACTGTTTTTTGTGTTTTCATTGCCCCCATTAGTGTTCAACATTACTACTTCGCTGAGTTGTTGTCACGTGCCAATGTTGTTTTGTTGTTGGCTTGCTTTTGTTGCGGAACTTGAGAGTGAAATTGCAAATATGGATTGCGTCTAAAGAATCACTGAATGGCATTGAATTTGTTATGATCAACGACAGAACTTGAGCACAGTCTTGTCTCTAATTGCAAGTGTTTTGACTGACATAATTTTCTTTCTCATTCATTAAAATAAATATGAAAATGATCCTACTCAGATGCATATTTGAAGTACAAGATTTGGTGTAGATGATAAATTTCACAAATTATTTCTGTTTTTAAGAAAATTTTATGACCCAAGACCTTTAATGTAACCACACTAGCTATTATTGTGCCTCTTTATTAAGTTCAAGATCCAAAATGGTAATTTTGCTCATTTGGTGATAAGATTACAATTTTAGCAGCAGTCATTTAAAGATGTCACTACTAATTTGGTTTATTTGTCATAAATCGTTTGGAATCATGGAAACTGTACTGTTTTTCAGATTTCAAACCTTTTTTGTCCATTCTACTTATTTGTAGCGGTTAAAATATTGTTTGTTCAATTAATTGGTACATATTTACCTTGTTCACATCTTAATGTGTTCAAGCTGCTTGAGTGTGGGACATTGTGTGTTTGTGGGTCCTGTCATAGGTGTTAACACGTTTAGGACATATGTGGACACCCAAATTGAGGACACAAGTTTCTTTGTTTACATTTTTGTCATTCTTTGCCATGCCACCAGCATGTGGTCATTACAACATTGATGAAATAATAATATTTGTTCGAGAAAGTTAAGTTCTAAGCCAGTACTACTTTTAATATGGTACCTGTCTGTGTCCATGACTTAATTGTGTGAGGTACAAAAACATTTTCCTATGATTATGTTGGCAATTAAACTCTCTACGACTTGGCAATTGCAGAATATTTGTGGTACGCAAAAAGTTGTTGGCATGATACTAAGCTATTTGAGTTTCTATGTTGAAATTATTTAACTCTTTTTCCACATGAATAAACTTTTGAAGAAAAAGAATAATAGTCTAATTTTAATGTTCATGTTCATGTAAAATCAAGGATTTAGAAATTTGGTTTTATTTTTCTACTTGCACTTAAATTAAAGTACTAACCTTCAATGTATTTTATCATGTGGCGCCAACACAATGCAGTGGACACTAAAATGGATATGTTTGTTGATTTGTTTACCAGCTTTAACTGAACCTCACATTTTGACTGATCCATACTCCTCGCTTACAAAAAGGAAATAACAAGACAGATTGAAGCGGGGGTCAATCAGCCCGCTGCTGTTCTCTGTTGTGTTGGTAAGGATTTTCCACTCCACGAATCAAGGACTGGTTTCATTGAAGATGTTGTCGCCTTGTAGCACTTATGTGAAGAAGCTGGACCAGCGTTATCATTATGTTATTTTCTTCAAATTTCTTAATTGAAATGACTACTTTTCCATTAGTCTTGCTGTGGTTTAAATCTCTGGTTTATCAATCTTTAACATGTTAGCGGAGTACTTGGGTAAAGATCAATGCTGTTTTGGTCTGTAGATCCTTTAGAGCACTTCTGCTCTTGAGAGTAATGAACAAAATGAAGTTAATTGTACACTTGGACTACATGGAAAGCACTGAACGTGGAAAGTCTAATAGTTGGCCGATTTCTTGTTATATGCCTTGAGGATATGAGTGCTATATACAGTGTCCTGATTTCAATTTGAAATGTATATTTGTTTTTGATTGTTGATTTGAGTTAATATTGGTTGATTTTTAGGTGGTGTTGATTTAGTTGAGATTTATTGTTGCTAGGTTTGATTTTTTATAATGTTGCGTCGACGGTGGTGTGTATTTAGGCAGATCTCACCGGAGTTGGGGTGGTGATTGGAGCCGGGTCTTGGAGAAGAGAAGGGGTTTAGAGAGAGAGAGTGGATTTGAAGGAAGTAAATGGTATTTTCGTCTAGCTCAGCTACCTCATAACATTCTTCCTTATTCTTTTTCTGCAACTCAATTTAAAAAAAAAAAAAAAAAAAAAAAAAAAATAATTGTGACACGTACAGCCTTGCCTATGCAGCAAACCAGCAAGCATGCTCCAACAAAGACAAAGTTCACAAGAAAGTATGCTACTTTGATTAAGGAGCAAGGAGCCAGAATTTATGTTCTTTGACGCTGTGCCACCAAGGGTGTTCAAAAGTGGTTAACCACTTTCTGAGCCGAACCGGATTTTCGGTTTGAAAAAATTCTCAAACCAAAATTGAATCGGTTTGGGGAAAACCGTTTTTTCTTTTTAAGCGATTAATCGATTTTGAACTGGTTTTCCCTTTTTTTATTGGATAAAACTTTTTTTTTTAATTTTTTTTTAAAATTAAATTGTAAACATAAATAATACATATCCAAATTAAAAATTAAACATTCATTGGTCACTATTAACAATTTTTTTTAGAGATTTAGTTTAAATTATTATTATTTTATTTAATATATAATATTTATTTTATATTTATATTTATTTAATATATATATAAATTGGTTTTGATTTTTTCCCAAACTGCTAACCGAATCGAAAATTCGGTTTTTTTAATTTCTTTAATCGTAATCGAACTGTTTTTTCAGTTCGATTTTCGATTCAGTTATCGATTCGATTCGGCTTTTGTATTTTTTTGAACACCCTCAGTGTCACCATGCTTTTGTGCTGGTACATTCAGGGAGATGACTAAAACCTGAATTTTCATCTCTTTCAGTTTTCCCTACATGCAAAAATGGTTTTGGCTCAATTTTATTTCCTTGTATCCCGAGGTTTGCAAAAAAGAATAATTATTAGTCGAGGCAAAAAATTGTGTCATTTTATTATTAGGAATGGAGATTTTAACATTGAACAATATTTAATGCAATGTTTTAAAACCCGGCTTGAATCGGCCAGTTCGATTGGGAATCGGTTGTTGTATCGGGTTGGGTCGGCATAAAAACTGAAAAAATAAATTGACTCGGTTTGACCTGTAGTTGGATCAGAGTTATTGCAGCTAACCGTCGATCCAACTTGGTTTTGTGCCCAAATCGGGTCAACTCAAATTCCTACATTCTAACATCTAAATACCTTTTACAATTTTCAATTAAAGACTTTAGGCTAATCAACAAAAAAAAACAAGACCAATCAACAAGTGAGAGGAGTTGAAACCTAGGTGGTGTTGTTGCGGTGGCAGAGAATGGTGGAGACACACATAATAGCGGCGCACACAACTAATAAAAGAGAAGAAAATAAGGATTTTTGTCAAAAGAGGAGTGAATGTGTTTTTGTGTTTTGGTGTAGAAGGTATGTACCTTCTGATTAGAGGAAAGCTGAAGAATCGAAAGAGCTTTAAAATTAAAATTAAAACAGTAGAAATTAAAGAGTGAAGAACAACAAAGAAAGTTGAAGAAAGAAGCCGCTGAAGCTTTCTCTCTCTACTATTCTTTCGTTCTTGCAATTTCAAGGCGGATGATATTAAAAATAAATTGCATTTAATAATTTTTCATAGAAAAAGACAATAAAATTTAAATTATTAAATGTCATTGGCAGGCTTAATAAATGCCACTGAAAAGAACTAAAGTGAAAACTGAACATGTACTTATTGCATTTAATGAAAAAATAAAAAGTTTTTTTATTCTTTACACGTTTCTATCATCAATAATGCTTTCCTTATCGACTAAATCTTATTAACGGTTCTACAAATTGATATGGCAGATACCATTTGATGTGTCACATCATCCATTTACCACATCAGTTCCCAAGAAACAGAAAAATTTTTCGCCTCCCCCAATTTATCAAAAATCTGTCCCCAATTAGAAATTGTAAATCAATTTTTGAGAATCATTCCCCTAATATCGAAAAATCTCTCTATCACCGGCCCATCCCTTCCACCTCCACCGCCGAGATAGAAGAAGAAAACCATGAAATGAAGAAACTTCTCTCTTCATATCCTAGTTTAAGTTTCTCTTTACTCTTAGCTTTATTTCCACAGAAGTCTCTTTTGTTGATACCCACTTCGGAATCTCAAGTGTTGATGCTTGATTTTGGACGCGAACGACTCGCACGTGAGAAGCGCTAAACGAACTTAGGAATCACACGTGATGGATCTATGATATTTGAATATGGAACTGAGATTATATATGTTGTAGAAAAATATAAATAAAAGATTGGCAAGAGAGATTTTTATAATGGTTCGGATGTAACAAACGACTCCTACATCCACTGTTATTTTATTAATCTCTGACTATTTCTATGATTTTGTCCATAAGGCATACAAAGATGAAGAAATACAGTGTTTACAGAGAGAGAATGAAATGAAGCTCAAATCTCAGCCCACTCTCCTTTTTCGGGAAGAGGAGTGCCTATTTATACACCTAAACACTTAATGTAATGAGTGTTTTGCAAGTTACCTTGACACATGGAAGGCTCTCGTCCATTCATTTCTTGAAATAAGATAGAGTTGGTGTGAATATCTTTGAGGAAATATGGGTTTGACAACACATTTATTAGGCTGACATAAGCGTGACTTTTGAGGCATAACATCAAGGCATAACATCAAGTAAGGGAGCTTTCGACGTGGCTGGTGAACGACAGAGGAGCAGTTGAGGCAGATGAAGTCACAGAGGAAGGAGGACTCGAAGGCGAATGTAAGGGTGGTGGAGATCTTTGCTACTCACAAGAACATGTGGCAGGTGGAGGAGAGGCGACTACTGCAACATATCGACGCTGTGAATGAGGAGATGGCGAGTTTGAGATCCAAGATTGAGGAAATGGAGAGGGAGAAGGCGGAATCGAAGAGGATAGCTGAGGAACTTGAGGAGATAATTGGGTTTATGTCTAGAAGAGTAGGCTGTGAGTTTGAAGAAGAAGAGGACCAATTTGGTGGGTGTGGGAGTAGGAATTTTACGGTGGGGATGATGGTTAGAATTGTATTTTCGGATTCACCTGTGAGTTTTTGGCTATTGCTTCTAAGTTTTGTGTCTGGCTTTTAGAGAAGCCTATAAAAAATTTTTGTATGATTCCTTGTGCTAGTACAAACATGTTGATCATCTTCATTTTTCCTTGTCGTTTATGTTTCTTTGCTTGACAATTTATTCCTGTTACATTGATATGACCTGAATAGGTACAACGTAGCATAGGGATTTTTTCCTGGTGCTTGAATTTATTTTTAAGGGTTTTACTGCATGTAAGCTTGGCAACTCTATTTGTTTGCTTTTTCTTTTCTGGCATGTGAATAATACACTAAAAATTTATTAGATGTTTGAACATAAAAGCAAGGGGGCGTTTTTTTTTGGCGAGATAGTTACCGTGTACGGAAATAAGAATTCAAGTATACAGTTACCAACATAAGTTTCTTTTTGGATGACAAAGCAAGAAGGTAACTATAAAATGTAAAAATGTACACATTGGTGATTCTTATACATAGGAAATCATTCATGTCTTCTAGGATGTTTGAATGCTTCTCCTGGTTGTATCCTTTTTCCCAAATGACTTGAAAGGAACAAAAATTGACCAAACAAAAGAGTTAGGGGACTGACAGTTTTTATTTTTATTTTTCTTTTAGTTTATATATCAATGAGTGATTTATATGGCAGTCTAAGCGTTTTCCGAAAATCATAAAAATTGTAAAAGATTGACAAGAAAAAAAAGAACAGCATTCACATTTTTACTGAAGTTTTTTTTACAAGTGAGTATCCGGTTTTTACTACTTTAAGGGATCAGTATTAATGAATATTTGCTTACTGGCTGAAGCATTTAAAGATTATTGCTGAGTGGTTATAGGCTTTACCTTAGTTCTCACCTCAGACTGGAAGTTTGGCTAATTGTGAGGTTCGTGTGAGAATTTCATACTGAATTTATTTGTTTTTGTTTTGCTTTTATCCTACTGCTTCCGGATCATGTTTAGTAGTTATTTTGGGGAAAACAATTGGTTATCACCTTTAATTCTTCGTCCTCCCCTCTAGTGTCTGATTTAATGATAAGATTTTCTAGTTTCTAGTTTTTTTTCTATTGTTATTTCCATTTTTTACCTATCTAGCTCTTTTCCTTTCTTCTTTTTATCTAAAAAAGTTTTTTAAATTTTTTATTTATAATTCATTGTAATACATTCGTTGAACATACAAAATTATCTTTGATTGTAGACATTGTCTAATATGCAAATCTTTGTAATATTGAATATTATTATGTCTCCATATATATCTCTTGTTGATGTGAGGTGCGGTGAATTACATAAACGGGGAAACCACACACACCGAGATTGTGCTCCAAGCTTACTTTGTTACCGGGTTATGTTGCCTGCTGATTTCTTCTCCCAATACTTTTTTTTTTGGAATGATTGGTATCCTACCCAAAATACTGTGATTTTTTAAAGCAAGTTTTACAAGTCATGCAGAAATGACTTACAAGTATATAGTGGAATGCAGCTTTGTCTCTATTTATGTTATTAATATAATTCTTTTTTGCGGTTCTTAAATTAAACAAAGAAAAACCAAAAGAATTTCGTCTTTGCATGTTAATGGCGTGACTTTGCCCCTGGAAATTGCGTGGGAGGTTGTATAATAACCTGCACTTCATGTCAATGTCCTGGTTTGTTTATCGCTTAACTTTTCCCTTAAACTGTTTGTTCTACAGCCAACAGTCTGGTATCATTGCAGTTTCTTTTGGTCATGATTTTCAATGCATATCATTGTTTCAAAAGCGTCTTGTTAGATTTTAAGTATCTTAAGAATTGGTATTTGTCAAGTTCATGGACAAGCTACAGCAAATGCACGCTTAAAATGTTTTTTTTTCAGTTGCGAATGGATGTGCCATACAGGCACAACTGTTTTCTGCATGCTAGATAAATTGCTGGAAATGAAATGTTATAAAAGTTAGTTGCTAAAGTATTGGTAGTGCTGAAAACTATGAACTTTCAGTCGTGTTGCTACCGTCCTCTTGGTTGTCTCTTTCAGAATGCTCGCTGGGGAGTCCTAAATCCGTATGAATTCAAAGAATGGTTTTTATCACATCAAGACTCACCTCAATTCAACCCTATGTGGACATACATCCACAATTTTGGTCAATGTTTAGAGAAGCTAGAGTTCCTTGGTTTTTGTTATAAAGTTTAATGCGCTAAGTAAGAGCCCATTTAGATTTAAAATGTCAATCGGCATTGGCATGTGATCAACATTATCAAACATTAGAAACACAATTCTAATGTCAGACATGATTATTAGGATAGGAGGATTCAAAACAGAGTCACTTGTCAGACTTGGTCTGATTCTTGTTTATTTACAACTTGTACGTAAAATTTAAACTTAATATGTAAAGCTGTACTATAGTATTGAGCTCTACGCGTCCAACCACATGCACTTATGTTTGGACCAACATAATTACAAATACCACCATAATACATAAACACAACTATCATAATAATTATAGGAGGATCCAAAGACAAGATCTTTTAACTTCACTCTCAATGCCGTTAAGTTATAGTGTGACTCTTAAAGCAGTAAGGTCCTATCTATGCCTAGTTGACACGTGACCTAGAAGCCTTATGTAAGGGTCCAATAATATTTTTTCAAGCTCTACATCTTAACCATAAATTACAACATAAATACTTATAAGTGTAAATTTAAGTAGTGAAATTTTTGCAAGCTTTACTATGCTTGCATTTCTTTATATTTTTCTAGTCTGCTTGGTAAAATTGTTGTAATGTATCCTCTGCCCTTAACTATAAATTCCCAGGTAATTTTCATGTTTCTGATTTACAACCCCACATGGCTTCCTTTCTGGATTTGAGGCAGAAGATGGATATTAAGGTCCACCCTACTTGAAGAATTTGCTCAAAGCACATGCTTCATGGTAGGGTATTGAATATTTTTTTATGTCACTACTATCCATGTGCTTTCCACCTCACTGGATGTGTTTGTGTTTACCTCTATATAAGACATGTATTAAATCTGTTTGGTTTGTAGAAACTGATAGCTGTTTTATCCGCCAACCTTCTAAGGTAAGGAATGTATGAAATTTCCGTGTTTTTACCATCTCTGCTCAACTCTCTTTTTTACAGTTTGTGTTTGACTGTGAGTGGCTAAGGCCTCATTACCCAAAGTTATTTTATATATTGGGGCAAATAGTTGTATCTGTCAAAAACTAATGTATATATTTTCTTTCTACATATTATTGGAAAAAGCATTTCTTTAGTACTAATTGTTTCCACCTCAGCATATGCCTACAATGTTTCAATTCTCCTTCACCCCAAGATTTCGCAAAGATGGTTTCAGACAGTTCCAACTACACTAAAATAATTCTAAATTCAATTTGTGGATGTCATGTGTAGGTAATGTATAATATTTTTGTGTTGATTTTTTTTTTTTTTTTGGTCAAATGAGTGATGATTTAACAACATTTGGCACACCAGAATCTGTTTTATTACTTGTAAGGAATAGAAAGGTAATTTCTTATTGCAATTGTAAATCTGGGCCCCTAGTTTATATCATTATTTAAGTTGTACACTACTTCCCAATGATATAATTTCCCAATTTGCAGTATCAATGGTTAAACATTTTGTTGAGCCTGGAAACACTATTAACTCCTTGCCACTGGAAAAGGAATCAGACTGGCTTCTGCAGTGCATGATCATTATCATGAAGAAATAACTTTGGAGCGATCAATCAATTTTTATCATTGCCCCAAACAACAAAGTCACTGGCATTTTGTCTAATGGTCGGCTTTGTTGATAGAATTTAACCATTACTAACATTAATTTTCCATGTTTGCATATTTTGCTTTCATATCTTTGTTCATTCCTTGGGTCCTCTTTTTATTTCTTTTGTTGCTGATCATTTGAATTTTTTACCTGCTGTTTCTAATCTGATGAACATATCATAATATAATTAAGAATATATCAACTAGTAGTTGCAAGGGTGAACCCAAGTACTAAAAAGGAATGGGTTTACATGGAAAGAGGTCAAGAAGTTAAGGTTTTTCAAGGATGCTGTCTAGAGTTTCATAAGAACAATATCTATGCAACAATAGAATATTTTTTAATTGAAGGTCTTCAGGGCATGCTGCTGGGTAGGCATGGTTTTAAGACTCTTAGACTTATTATAGAAACATACTATTATTTTGCTTTTTATTCAGTTTTCGTAATAGAACAAACGTATTATTGACATGTTTACATATTTACGATCTTCTGCAAATGTGATAAATTTCACCCTGCCCTTTTGTCATTTCTAATATGTGATGGTTTAATTATATGCAGTATGCTATCTTTGTGCATTTGTGGTTCTCAACGTTTCTATTTTAGTGTATCAAATAATCCTTGTATTTTTTGTTTTCATAAACATGTGTGATCTAATATCTTTTATGGTTCTAAAAGCCAATAGGATCTCATTGGATAGGAAGGATGTGGTCCTCGTGGAGAGAACAACTTGGGGGAAACGTCAGCTTGGATTTTTTGGCTCCTTATCGTCACTATTGGCATAATTTGATTCTCGAGAAAAGGTTTGCCATTTAGTTCAATTTCTCTTTATTTGCTGGCGTAATTCTCTTTCTCTTGATATTTTTGCAATTTTACCTTGAGTAGGTATTTTTAATTTTTTTTATTGCTTATTGTGTATTTTTTGACAATATTGATTGGGACCTGCAACTAGAGAAGCACGTCAGAAACTCCTGCTTTGATGACTTGGTTGAACGTAATACAATGTCAAAACTTGTTTGATGGGGTTGTATTCCATCAACTTCTCTGTATTTTGGTTTTAATTATCAAGGATGTATACAATGATTAAGTTATCTGGATTCATAATATCGAATGTCACATCTGTATATTGTAAAATATTCTCCTTTCTTTTGGCACTTAGCTGAGAGACAAAAATTCAATCCCTTCTTTTCTTTCACATAGATATTAATCCAACTAATTACGTTCTGTTTCAGGCAGTTACCTTCGTGCTAAGATGGAGAAGTT